TATATCCTATGAAGACTCCAAGGTGACTGTGGTGCACACTGAATTGGGAGACCCTGTGTAGTCTTCTGGCTGACATCAGAGCATAGGCATTCTGGATAAGAGGAAGAGGAGAAATGGAGAGTTGGGATGTTGGAGGGACCCCTCTGATGATGGAATCACCAAGCGTCAATCAAGAACAGAGCTGGAGGAAGGACCCACGTGAGAATCACTAGGAAATAAGAACAGTGGCCCAGTGAGAACAGCCTGCAGTCCAGAAAGGAATGGGAGACAACCACCCCTCAGTGCCCCAGCAAGCCCGGACCACTTCTGAGCTGGCAGAGATCACTCCCCCCACCCAAAGATGTCTCCCATAGTCCCTGAAACCTGTGGATCAGCCACCTTCCATATCAAAGGATAGTAAGTGTGATCACTGATCACAGGTGAGCTGGGGATGGTACCCAGGCTGCCCAGGTGTGCCCTGTGTGACCCAGGCTGCCCAGGTGTACCCTGTGTGATCATAAGGCAACATCAACAAAGGAAGTTCCGTGAAGACCAGCTAGCAGGGTGCAGCGCTGGCTTAGAAGATGGAGTAGACTGGGATCCCTGCCCTGAGGGCAGCTGTAATATTTCCTAAGAAGCTGGAAAAAGCAGGAAAGAGTCCTCCCTGGAGGCTCCAGGAGGACCCCAACCTGCTGACTATCCCTGTGAACCCCACTTTGGACTTTTGATCTCCGGACCTGCATGACTGTAAATTTTCGATGCTTTAAGTTTCCTACGATTGTCCCTGAGGTCTGTAAGGATGCAGTGGGGATAGGGATGGGCTTGGCTTGGGAGCTGGTGGGCTTCAGTTACAGAGAGGAGAGCGTGGTCTTGTTTACCATGGGCTGTATGAGGCAGTAGACCAAAGGCAGCATTTTAGGAGAGGAGAGTTGCGGAGAGTGGGAACTAGGGGACTCATGGAAACCAGAAAGGGGACCTTACTAACCCACTATGAATAGAAGAAAAAGCAAAGAAACGGTGAGGCTGTGAGCCGTGGGAGGCGGGAGGCCACGACAGCCAGGATCTCACGTTTTGGCTCTTAAAGGACATCCTAACCTAGTCTTGGCAGGTAGGGCCTCAGGAAGGGCAGGGGTCATGCAGAAGACCCTGTGGTACCCACGGGGCCCATCGGCAGCATGTGGAGGATGAATGGGAGGCTGGGTGGCTGGGAGTCCCTGGAGGTTTTAAGGCCGTATGCCTTGTTCTAATGTGGCCTGCAGTGGGCACTGCGGAGTCCCCACAGCAGCCTCATCTCTCACCTTAGCGAGAGCGAGCAAGCGAGCTAGTGAGCGACATCCTCCTTGGGGAAAGTTCCAGTCTCACGTTTGCCTAGTAAACAGCAACTGGCTGCCTGCCCCTCGTTTACCTGTCCCCTAGGAGCCATTGAGCTACAGCAGAGAGAGCTTTACAGGCAGAAGGGCCACAGGTGACTGCAGGCTGCCGGGAGCAGATGACAGCTTGGCAGCTTGGGGACCCGAGGGAGTCATGTCATTACTGCTTTCTGCAGTGAAGGGAGCTGGCTCTTGCCAGAAAACAACCGCTGTGCAACCAGAAATGAATACACCAAGCCCCATGGGACTGGGAGAAGGCCTCTCTTGAGTCCACTGTTTGGTTTTGAAAAATGAGTTAAATATTAGGAAGTGATTAATTTTCCTGTGGCTGTCTGCCTCTTGTGCCTGTCAAAGCTGGTTGTGCCTGTTCATTCACACACCCCCTTCTCCCAGGTCCTACTATGTGCTGGGCTTGGGGCTGTAGCCCTGAGCCAAGGCAAGCATTGTCCTCCTCTCCTGGGACCCACAGGTGAAACAGTTGACACCAGAAGTTTCCACGCACAGAGGGCTCAGCATGGTGGGCTTCACACGGTACCTGGGGGGCAGGCAGAAGAACCAGGTCTTCATAAGCGCTTCTGGAATTAGGAGGTGAGGACTTCCGGTACTAAGAAAGCAGAAACTAGGAGATGGTGTGGTCTGAGAGCAAGGGAGAAATGCTGTGTGCGTGGAGATGGGAGGCAGGGAAGGTGGCCGAGCATGTCGTCTAGAATCCAGATCTAAATGCTGAGAGCCACTGGGGTGCTTTGCCTAGGGGCAGAATCAGGTATGAGGTAACTTAGTCTGGCTCTGCTGTGTGCAGGGTGGGTGGGAAATGTCAGGGGAACTCAAGGAGCCACCCTGTCATCCTGGCAGATGAGGAAAGGCCAATGGGCACAAAGGGGGAAGGTGACAAACACTTCAGAGACAGATTACAGAACTTGCTGATGTGTGGGAAATGGGGCTGTGCGGGACTCAGAGTGACATTGTTCCTTAAGCAACTGCTGAGATGGTGTTGCCACAGGCTGGTGGGGAAGGGAAGGGTGGAGACTGGGAATCGGGGAACCTCGGGCCTGTTAACTAGAAATGCCTTGCGGTTGGCACAGTGAAGTCACGCAGCTGCACCAGCATCTGGAATCTGTGAAAGGGGTCTGTGCAGCCCTGTCCAAGGTGGTCCTGGGAAGCCTGGCCCTGTGTGGCCTCGCTTCATTAGGAGCAAAGGCTATGAAACAGAATCTTGTGTGCTGCTTCTGCTCCTGGTGAGCCCTTGGGGGAACTTGGCACATCTGTCATGGAGGCTATGGCTTGCCGTCCCTCCCTGAAACCTGGCTGTGGACCAGATAGTGTGGCCCCAGCAGTACATCTGATGGTCATGAAGTACTGTGCAATTTCACAGTATAAAATTTGCAGGAAGAAGGCATTCTTGGAGAGGCTGGGGGACAGGGCAGCCTCCTTGGCAGTCTCTCCAGGTGGGGCCATGCACACACACCTCCACTTCCGAGCATTACCAGGAGGTGGGGGCAGGTGGGCCCAGAGAGCGGCCTTCTGGGAGGAAAGTTTCATCTTAACTTATTCATGTGTGTACCACAAAATGTCATGAGGGTTGCAGGTCAGTCCCCTCTGCCTCACCAGGGCTGTGGCTTTAACTTTCATTTACTAATGATGCTTGTGGTTCTCGAGACTCAAGCCTGGCTCTGGGCTGCCTTCTGGTTTATGACCCCAGAGGCTGCACCGGTGTCTGTCCCAGTTTCTGCACTAAATTTTCTCAAGTCCCCACTTGTTACCAACCCAGAGTTATGCTCCCCCCACTGTAAAACTGCACCCGGCTGCTGCATGCAGCAAGGGGCCTTTGCAGACTGCTGTCACCCCAGGGTGTACTTTACATTTGGGGATTTTTGAAAAGTAGATCGACTCATTTCTGGCTCTTATGGTCTAGTTAAAAAAACAAGCCCAAACCTCTATTGTGTTTTTCCGGACCTCACAGTAGACGAGGTCCTCGCAGGAGCTCAAGGCTCAACACTGAAGCCCAAAGTCTGTTCAGTGATGTTACAGGGAACCGATAGCAAATATAAGCCAAGATCTATCAAGTTCCCAGTACCTGGGAAGTGGCCACTGTTGTCAGCATTTTGTATCAGGAAAAATGGAGGAATGGGCCAGATTTATGTTTACCAAGTGAAGCTTGCATGGAGATTGTTAGGTCTCAAACTCAGGACAAATGGCTAACTGAGGTGCCTATTTAACCTATCAGACTGGGAGGACTTGGCCACCAGGTTCTCCCGGCACCTTACAGGGTGTGACTGGCATACCCCGGCCCCTACCCTCAACTTCTCTAACCCAGGGCCTGGGCTGCCCTTCCCTATCTAATCCAGCCATTTTGGCTACCTGGCCCTTTTTGGTCTCCCCTTTACAATCCTGGCCTCTTGTTCTAGCGCTCCCTTCTCCCCTCTCCTTGCATGGCCCAGCTCAAGGTCATTTCCACTCTGGACTCTCCCAGATGTCCCCGCCTCTGGCTATGTTCTCCCTTTTCATTCAGAGATGTGGAAGACAGATCTCCTTTGAATGGGTGTATAGTCTTGTCCTGTCTTTGGCTGCTGCTGCTGACCTTCAGGGAAGGCATGGAAGGGCTTCAGAAGTGAGGGAAAGAGAAACAGCTGCTCACAGCTACAGCAGGCATCATAAAGGGTAGAGTCAGCTTGGGACGTGTGGTGCTGGGCACAAACGGGTTGTATGGTGTGGAGGTGGGGGGGGGGGTTCCTAACAATTCAAGCCATGTGAGTCATTCCCAAGAGTGCATTTAAGTGGCGTTCTGTAGATCCTGCCTCACAGGGTCCCACAATAGTGGAATCCACACCAGCCACCTAGAGCCATGTGCTCACCAGGAAACTTTGGGCATCTGGACCATCTAGGTTGTAGTACTCTTTGGGGCTTCTGATCCAAGCCACCAGAGGGGCCTGAAGCCTTTCAGGGTAGGTGTTTGTAGCCACAAGGACCCATGCAAGTTCCTGTCAGGGCTGGGGACACCTGCCCACATGGACCTGCTGGTTGAAGGAACAGGAAGAAGTAGGGGTGGAGTCTAGACCATCCCAAGGGCAGATCATGGTTGGGTAGAGTGAGTCTCTGAGGCACAGGCCCCAGGACTTTAGAGCAAAGCTCTAAGGGTAGAAGACGTTCAATATTAAGATTTAAGAAATAGCAATTCCTTCCACCTCCCTTGGGTGCTTTAACTCTGAAGGAGAAAAGCTGTTCTGAGGAAGAAGGCAGATAAAAAGTCCTGGAACTTTCTGGAATATATGTTTTCAGGTTTTATAAAAGGTCCCTCCTCTCTTCTCTGGTAATTTGTTAGATGCTCCAACAGAAAGCCCCCCACCCGCATCCCACTGTTTCCAACCAACTTCAGGCACTCTGGGATTTCCTAGAAGCTAGCCTAAGGCTGACTCATAAGTCTCTCCCTGCCTGTTACCCCAAACAGAGGACCAGGAGGCAGATCTCAGCAGAGTCTTGGGTAGAGAGGATGGGGCAAATCTGATGTGACTCTGTCACCTTGGGCAAGCGGACAGCAGGTTCCTCTTCAGCTGATATACTTTGTGCACAAACAAAAACTTTCCTTGCTATCTGAACCCCACTTTTAAGGCTGCTCCAACCCCGCCTCCCAGAGAAGCAGACACACCCAGGGAAAAAGTTGCTCTCAACTGTTTTATTGCTAAGCTGTCATACAAGCCGTATAAAAATACTTTACATATAGCAAAAATAAACTACATGAAACTGAAGATTAAAATCATTTTGCATAGGAATGCGATATATTCCGACCCAAGACAGTCGGGATTTTCCCAAACCCTGGTCTTCAGGCATCACTGGGGCAACTTTAGGAGCTGGAGGATTGTGAGACTCCCTGTGAGGGCTGAGAGGTGATGGGGAACAAGGGTCCTCTGACGTCTGGGATGCTCCCACAGAAGGCTCTGGCCAACCAGAACACTGGGGCTCCTAGTCACACAGCAACAGCACCATCTGCACCCAGCCCATCTAAAGGCTGAAAGGGCAGGGACATTTATTCCCATCTGTCTCAGGGGCTGCATAGAGACAGCAGTAACCCTTTGACTCCTAGGCCCCCTCTGTGATCTCAGAGGGGCCTGCTCAGGGAAGCACTGCTCTTGCCCATCACTAGAGTTAGCTGTAAACAAACTGGGTTAAGGCAGGGATGGTGGCTGTATGTCAAGGCACGGGTAAATTGGTCATAGGTGAAGGTGATGTTGCCTCATTTTAGCAGCTGGCTGGATTGCAGGAAACTCTTTCACTCTGCAGCTGGCTGGTTTGGGTCCATGAAGCTTGATGCCCAAGGTTGGGAGATGCCAGTGGTGGGGATGTGTCAGTTTTCTCAGGGTTGTCCTTCCAGCAAAGAGTTCAGGAATGCTCATCCCAGCTTGGCCACCCACAGTCTGTCAATGCTGAGCACTGTGGTGCAAAAACAGACCAGCCCGGCCTCCCTTTGGCTCTGAGTGACAATCAAAACACATTGCTCCGACCTCTCTGTGTGACAGTGCTGAGGGTGGCTGGTGGTGATGGATGACAGATGACCAGACTACTGGATGTGAACCAGCTATCCCAGGTCTTGGGAGGAACCAGCTCCCTCTGCCCATGGCTCCAGTGTGCTGGACACAAGGTGGCTGTCCTTTGGATGCTGCCCACAGGGCCACCTGTGAGGACTTCGCGTGGTTGCTTCTGTCACTATCAAGCTGTAGGATCTTGTCAGTCCATGAAAAGACAGGGTTCTGTGGCTTTAAATCAAAACTACCAACTAAACCCTTCCTGTGCAATTCTAAGGGAAAACCCAGGCTTGAGGCTGGAGGAGTGTGTATCTTTCTCGAGCAAGAAAAAGGTGCTCTTTCCTCCCAGTCCCCCTTCCTCCTGTCCTGAGGTCCTGACAGTGACCAAAGGTGCATCTTTGGATTTGTTTTTCTAGAATGAAAAAAAAAATTCAAAAGCACACCATTTCTCTTACAGAAAATCAAGATATATATGTTTAAAAAAAACCTTAAAAAGACATCTGACCATTTATAAATATGTTCTAACTCCAACAGGAATGAGATATTTTGAGGGCAGATAAAAAGCATCAAAATCCAGGTAAGAAAATAAAATTTAATATCATACTGATCTGGGTGGATATATGTATTCCCAGCAGCTGTCTTTGTACAATCAGGAAGATGTGCAGACTTTGAAGAGTTAAGTACCACATTCAGCAAGACGGAACTGTCAGAGTGTCACACCAACATCACCATGGATTTAACAAAGTCACATTTCTGCTCCAATCCTTCTGACCCACATGCAACACCACCACCTTCACCAATCGGGCATCTTTTTCTCATTGACTTAGATCAGACTGCATCTTCCCATTCTAAAAACGGTTTAGAAGCAATTGCTCCCGGCGACGTTTCCTCCTAGCTCTGTGACTGACCAAAATTCCTTGATAACTATCTGCTACTCATACACTTTCTCTGGCCTGTCTGGAAAAAATGCCATTCTCTCCTTGGCCTCCTGGTCTACTTGTTTATGAGACGGTTTCTTAGACTATCCAGATAAGGTGGTCTAAAGGAAAGGGCATGTGCGAGCGCACGCGTGTGCGCACATACACACACACACACACACACATATGAAGGTACAGGAGTCTGAACTATGGGAAACCCTCTTGCACACATACATACATACACACACACACACACACACACACACACACACACACACACACACACGAAGGTACAGGAGTCTGAACTATGGGAAACCCTCTTGCACACACACACACACACACACACACGAAGGTCTGAACTACGGGAAACCCTTTTGCTGACATGGTTAGAAGATGAATGGGAAATGAGTTAGCCCTTTTTCACCCTGCAGACAATGCAACTGAACTACTCACTACAATTGCAGGAAGGCACTTGGGTAAAACATTGAGATAATCTGAGGAAGGGCCTGATTCCTCATGTGCAAAAAGTGGCTCCCAGCCAGGGCAAGTGAGAACTGATCTCTCACCAACCCGTCACCCTTCCCCAGAGAAGTCGGTATTGCTCCAGTAAAGGGCCAGCAGGGAAGCTTGCTTTGTTTAATAAGAAGTACTCAGAATCAGAGACTTAGTGCTTAACGTCTTGTGGACATTCTGGGTTCAAAAGAGAATTCTGCTCAGCTCTATGCTTGGGGTGGGTGGGGGGAAGCCTGGTACTGCTGCTAGGGGAAAGAAATACTAGATATTAGCCAAGAAGTCACACTTGTCATGCTCAAGCTGAACCCTGGGCATGGGGGCTCCGTCTGGAGAGCTAGTCATAGCTGGCCCAGCTCCCAAGAAGGTTTACCTTGGGATGGCCTTGACAAAGTCAGAATGTAAGAAACATGGTGGGTAGTTAGCCACTGTGGCTTGCTACTTGGGTCTCTGCCTAGCAGAGCTGAGAAAGTCACTTAACATGCCCGCCCAACGTGTACAGGCCACCTGTGGTGAAGGCAAGCAGCGAAAGCTATCTTGTTCATGGCAAGAAGAGCTCTGCGGGAAGGAAAAACAAACTGCCCAGGGGAGGAGGACTGGAGGACCCCGTGAGAGCGAGTGTGGAGAATTCCACAGGACACACGACCCGGCCAAGCAGGGCTTGATCACACTAAGGCACACGCTGGGGCAGATCTGCCCGAGTGACACGCGCAACGCTTTGGATCCGACAGCAACTTCAAATGCATCCAGGTAAAAACCACAGGGCGATGCCGGCGCTTTCCTGCTTTGGGTTTAGGGTGGGGGGATATTTCAGTCCCTTTGTTCTGTTTGGTGGCAGTCGTGACAAACACCTGCAGTTTTGATTGGGTTAGGTGGCTTTAGCTCTGTAACAGTCAATGCAAAGACCCAGAAGGTTCTCCCAGCTCCTGGGTGGAGGAGGCTCTGTCTGGGAGGAGGGTGGAGAGGAGCCTTTGGAAGCATTGTTCTCAACAGGCAGCCCGGGCTGGATCCCACCAGAGGTCTGGTGCAGGCAGCAGGGTTAGGGAGTAGCTGGCTGAGAGGGCCCAGCCTGCAGACACCTTAGTTGGCTCTTTGAAGCAGAGGAAAACAAAGCAAAGCCCCCAGAAGCTGGCAGACATGTACATGTGTTATAACTTAACGCCGAGAAGTTGGAACAGGTGGTCCTGTCAAGGCAAGGCGGTTCGTCTTTGGAAAGAAAATTCAAAATAAAGCTCTGCTATGCCCGGCTGGGGCAGAGATGATGGTCTGGTTTTGGCTCCTATAGAGATCTGGGGTTCTCAAGCCCAAAAGTTGGACTCCTGGGCATGTTCTTTTGGTTGCTCTGTCTAAACACCCTTCAGGAGAGATAGGAGCCATGTCTGTGGGCTGGGGCTGAAGTTCCCAGTTCTCTCCCCCAGCCCAGCCTCCGGGTCTCAGGCAAGCTCAGCTTCCTAGTGAATTGAGAATGGGGCTTTGGTCAGCAGGCAGTTGCTTTTTCTGGTGGAAATCCAGTCACCGTGGACATCAGCTGAGATGAGCTTTGAGAGGCGGCAGACGCCAACACCAGCAGCCTGCGCTGTGCCCACATACAGTGTTCCAGTCAGAGAAGGCAGGGAGAGACAGAGGGATCCAAGGTGGAAGGTTTCTTGAGATAATGGCTGTTTCTAGGTCTGATTTCGTGGGGGAGGTCTTGAAAACTCCTTCCTGATGATTTCATTAACTAAAAAGGGAGAGAGAATTTAGAAAGGCACGTGAGATGTCACCCAAACCAGGCATCCTGTTAAACATCACTTTCTGTGTGTTTCCTTGTGGCGATCCATTTTAACATAAAACGCCTTCCTATGTCACTGCCCCTGCCCAAGTCCCCCCAGCTGACTGCTCACGTGGTAATGTGCCCCACCAGTGCTCGAGGATTATATTTCAAGGTTCCAGGGGTGGAGGGGGTCCTCAGAGGGGCTGGGGAGCCAGTCACCTTCCCTGTAAGTGTGTGGTTCCAACAGGAACTGTAGGCACGACACCAGCCCCTGGCATGGGGAAGCTATCTGGCCTGTGAGGTGTGAGTTACTGGGATGGGGTGGGAGACCCTAACACGGAGGATCTGGCCACAGGCTTCCCTTAGCATCCTGGAGATCGGCTGCTGTCATCACCAGCACACACGGGAGGCTGCAGAGCCAGTCCCAAAGCCAGTGTACATCCTCGGTGGCATTTTGTCTGCCGATCCCAGGGTGCACGGGAGATTTCTCCGCACAGCCTCCTTAGTTTCCCATCGGAGCTATTTTCTGAGTGTTAGTGTTAGAGATGGGAACGGCGTAGAGAGCAGAGAAGCTATGGAGACCTTCCTCATTCCAGACTCTCTGCAGTCTGAGGTGCTTTCTCCTGGGAGGTCCCTGCCTGGATGAGTCTGTGACCCCTCGTCAACAGGGATAGGGGTAGGTACGGCTTTAAAGAACGGGCTAATCCAGGTTGGCTCTGAGCCAAACCAGCCATGTGACTTGACTGGCCTGTGACTCAGGCTCCCTATCTCTAGAGTGGGAATCACAGCAGCATGTTCCCTTTAGGATCATTCTTTTTTCTCTTTTACATTCAACGTGTGTGTTGGGGGTGAGGTAAAGATGTGTCATGGCGGGGTTGGGGATTTAGCTCAGTGGTAGAGCGCTTGCCTAGCAAGTGCAAGGCCCTGGGTTCGGCCCTCAGCTCTGAAAGAAAAAAGAAAAAAAAGATGTGTCATGGCATGTAAGTGGAGGTCAGAGGATGACCTGTAGAAGTCTGTCCTCTCCTTCTACAATGTGGGTCTCAAAGACAATTCAGGTCATCGAGCTTGGCACCAAGTACCTTTAGCCACTGAGCCATCTCATGGCTGTTTTATTAAAAAAATATGTTTGAGATGGAGTCTTGACATGTAGTCTAGGCTCTTATGATATAGACCAGGCTGGCCCTGAACTGATAGGCAATCCTCCTGCCTCTGTCTCCAGAGTGCTGGGATCACAGCACACACCACTGTAAGTGGACTTCTAAAAGCTGCTGTGAGGATGCCAACCATGGGGATGGATAACGGCACGGTGCATGGTATTCGACAGCTGTTAGCGGCCATGGTCAGGAGCACGCTGGTGTACCCTCTGTGCTTTGCATGAGAAGGGTGGCCCCAGTTCAGTGTTCCTCAGGTATGTGTTGGAGTCAGAGTCGGGGTCAGAATACCACTTCTGATATGAGTTGATTGTGAGTCTGGCTTTACTGATATAATCATTCTGTGCCTCAGTTTCTCAACCTATGAACTGGGTCCAAAAATATTAACTGTTTCCTAGTGCTGTGAGCATGGAGACGTCATCAGGTCAGAGACTAGAGTGCCCAGGACAGAACATGTGTGGGCTTGCAGAACAGAGGACTAGACGTCAGGTAAGCTCAAGAATGAGCCCGGGAGCCCCACAGTCACAAACACTTCCAAGATGGTAAATAGCTCTGTAAATGGAGCCTCGGGGGCTGGACTCATCCGATCAGCTGACTGGGACCACGTGTGCAGGTACTGTAGTACAGTGTTCCAGGTACTAGCTCACTCTCTGGGGCCTGAAAAGGGGGAACTGAAGGAAGGATGCCAACCAGGGCCTGGCTGATGCAGCACTGCCAGGGCCCAGTAATCTGCCAGCACTCTGGGCATGGGATGGAAGCCAAATGCAGAGGGGCAGGGCCTGGCAGCTTCTGTGAAGTTTTTCAAAGTCAGGATCCTAGGGGCCTTCCTTGTCTGCTCAGCCTCTAGAGTAAGAGTGGTCAACCCCTCTTGGAAACTTCCCACAGCCAGGTTTGCTATAAATAGCTGATAGATATTGCTCTGGGCACACCACAGGCCCTCACCCAGGGTCAGCTCCCTCTGAGGAGTACAGGCTGGGAAGGCTAGATGACCTCTCTTGGGGGCAGTGTTTCCTACTAACTCCAAACCACCTTCCAACCGCATGTAGAATACCCAGCCAGCTATTCCCATTTCAGACCTTTGCACTGGGGTTGGTGGGGGAGGCTGCTATCAGGTTGAACCGTGTCCAGCAACCTCCGTGCTCGTTGCTTTTCTCTCTGAAAACCCACTTGTACCCCTGACTGCAGGGGAGAAAGTTCTAGAACATATACCAACCAGGTGATGGCTATTTCACTGTTCTGTGTCAGGATAAAAACTTGGGCTCCAGGTTCTGAGGGACTCTGCTCAACCTCTCCAGCCAGGTGCCCCCTTGAAGGTCACTAGGGTTGGGGACAGCCTGCCCTTTGAATGGAGTCCATGCCTCCTATGATGATCTGCCCTTTATCTTTCGCCATTAGTAAGGAGAAGAGTCCAACTCAGTCCCATCACTACCTTCTTCCTCTCTCTTCTGTCCATCTTTCTCACTCTCTTTCATCATGATTAAATTCTCCTGTACCCAAAACTCCTGCTCTGGGCCAATCCCCCACCTGCTTTCCCAGGTCCCCCATGAGGACTCTGCCATCTGTCCCTGTGTGACCTCACTTCCCACCACTCTTTGCGCATGCATGGCCCTGACTTCCACCTTCCAATGCATGCCACCAGCAAACCTCTGGTCCTCTCCGTCCCCCACCAGGCCGATGCCATCCCTGCCTCTTCTAAGGTTTGTGTCTTCTGCCTATGCCAGCCACAGGCTCCTTACAGCTGGATTGCTGGCTCTCCTATACTGTCCCTTTCTGGCAACGTGATACTGCTGTGTGTGCTCACATGCCGGGCTGTATTCTGTGCCCCAGACATAGGAAGTACCCAGTAATGACATGGGGACACAGATCTTAAAAAGGGAGAGACACTTCAGGTTCCATGTCAGAGCTGGGTATGGCTCCCTAGGGTGACTCAGATATCTGAGTCTCCCCCCCCCCTTTATTCATTCCATAATTCCTCCAAATCTCTCCCCTCTGTCAGCTTCTCTCCCCACCTTGGTCCATGAGTCTCCACATAGCTTCACCCACTTCCAAATCTAACTTCCTGTCTGTCTTTGTTCCAACAGTACCTATTCCTACCCTCACACACACCCCAGAAGTCATTGTGGAATCCACTAGTCTCACAGATTGTGCCATGTAGGACCGTATGCACAGCTGGTGTTTTGGGTGGCTATTACTAGCCTAGAAATTTTATCTACAAAAGAATGAAACACGTAGATTTTCTGAGGATGGTGGGACTATTTAATTCCCACTTCAGCCCTAGCAACTTGGTTACGCTGTTGATAGATGTTGTAAAGACTGGAGGTCTCTGGCCACAGCAGGCAGCAGGGTTTAGGTTTAGATTTGAATCTGGCCTAGAATCAACTCAATCTGCAGCCTCCATGCTGGCCAAGAAATTGTTCTGTGAGGTTCAGTATTCACCCCTTTTTTGTTTGTGGAGACCCAGAATCCTCGCTGTATTTTGTACAGGAAAAGGTCAGATAGTTCCTGAGTTATAGGGGGCAGGTTTGAAGCAGGTGGTCCACCAAAGCACCACATTCTAAGAACAGGACAGGGGTGAGGGTAGCCCACCACAGTGCTGCTAACCCCATTAGGGGCAGGACTGAGGATGAATGTGTCTCTAGCTTCAATGTGACCCCTAAGGCTGCCACCAGGAAACAGAAGATGGACAGATTTTAAATGTATCAAAATTATAGCATCTTTCATTATCAGAGACAATCATTCATAAACAAGAGGTACTACAGCTCTAAGAATATGAATCAATAAAAATGACTGTGACAGACAATATTAAAAGGGCCAGGCCAGGGACCAACAGACCCTCTTGGTGAAGGACTAGGTACTACTTTCAGATTTGTGGGTGCTGAGGCCTCTCTCAACTATTAAGACAGCTATAGGCAAATCAGCATCAATGTGTCTCAATAAAACTTTATTGACAGAACAGGATAGGGGCCAGATAAAGCCTCACCACCATAGTTTGCCAATGGCAGAGAGGTAAAAGAGGGCATTTTCTTTGCCTGCTTTGGGGTTCATCAATCTGGGGAAGCCAGAGCCTCAACTAGTATTACTTAAGAATTGGTCTGGGTTGGTTTAGTGGTAATGTTCTAGTGGCTAAAACCGACTTGTCCTGAGGGTTCTTCCTGCAGCCCCCAGCCCCCAGCTGCTGACTCCGGAATGGCAACTCCAGGAAGGAGCAGAGAGGCCTCACTGTTTCTCTCCAAAGCTCAGCTGTTTTCTACTATGAGGCCAAACTGTAGCCAGAGGCCCCTCCTACAGCCAGGACAGGCCTGGAATGCCCCCTACCCCCACCTCGGCTCCTCTACTGTGCCCAGGTCAGGAGGACATCACATCTGCTGGCGTAGGAGAAGCTCCTTGGGGAGAGTTCTCTAGAGCCAAGGCCCAGCTCTGGGTCTGAAGGACTGGGTCTTCCCTGTCACTCACAACTCAGATGTTACCTGAGGGTGTAGTTATGGGGCTTACTTTCTGGAGAAATGTCCTTGCATCTTTTCTCAGCCCCCTTCCTGGGTTCTAGACACCTAAGATCACTAGATAGCCAGGCCATCCATACAGGCTTAGTGGAAAGGACAAAATCCCACTAGAGGTCAAGGGCCAGTCAGTGCTGAGGTTAGAGGCTGACAGCTGGAGCATCTGCCAGATTCCCAGGCCCAAGCAGCAGCATGCACCCTGGGCCTTGTAAGGGACTTTGCTCTCCACAGAAAACATCTCCGGTTTTTATCAGCCTGATTCCTGGGCCGTGGCAGATGCTCAGCAGTGGGTGGTCAGCACAGTGAATGCCCTTGACCACAGCAAAGTTTGAATCCCTGTTGTTGGCTGGGATGAGTGCCTGGCCTTCCCAAGAAGGATGAAGTGCAGTGTTGGGATGTCCTGAGCTGCCAGCTCATCCGCACACACGGCAGGCATGGCTTTTACTCACTGTTTTTTACTGGGATTTTTAGTGTGACTCTGCCAAGGGCATCTGGACCTTGCCTGAGAGGTAAGGGGGCTGCTTTCACTGATGAAAAGAACTGGGAAGCCAGCCATGGCCCAGTACCCCAAAAATGCCAACTTAATCACTGCCCCAAAGAGCTCAGTGGGCCAGCTGCCAAGTCAGGCTGACCACATGGCGAGGGTATGGGAAAGGTGTCACTACCTCCTTAACCCATGGGGACTATATTGTCAAAGAGCCTCCCAAGCTTGCCCCATCCAGTCTGATTGGGCCACCCAACCCTTCTATGAAGCCCCAGAGGCCAAAGCCAGTTAAGTTGGATACAGAGGGGGAAGCCAAGCGAGGGCGTTTGTGTACCATAGAAAGCCACACACACTGCCCTGGTCCTGGGTCTCCTGATTGGCTTCCTAGGGCTTCTTCTTAATACAGAACCCCCACTCCTGTAGGGTGCAGGGTCCCCCAGGACAGCATGCAAACCCCTGCATCCACCCCACCTCACAGACTGAGAATCTTGGGGCTGTCCGGCCCTTGAGAGCAGGGTCCACAAGGACAGTTGGCCAACGAGCCGAGGGCCTGGGGTTGGCGCGTTCTCTCTGACTTAGCCGTGAACTCGAGGTAAGCAAACGCCCCTGGCGACCCCAGGGAGAAGGAGAAGAGTCCATTACCTTTCGCTTTGATTTCTCGGGTCAAAGACCAGTCACTCGGTCTCATAATATGTTTTGTATCCAGCTAAGGGGTGTGTCTATCAGCTCTGAAAAAGACGTGCAAAACCATTTTTGAGAAGAAAAGGAAAAGTTACCTTTGAACTCTATCACACTTCGAATTGGTTTCGACTACACAACCCAGGACAGAACTTCACCCTTGGACTAGAGTTTCAGGCTGATTCTGTATTAATTTCCTGGCCTGAAGGAAACCAACCTCTGGGGTCAGTACCACTGAGACGGGGAACTTTATGTAAAGACGGGGTAGTCTCTGAGGCCAAATCATCAGTAAGATGAGGGGCTGTACATGTCTCTAAGCACCCCCCAAGGCCTCTCACCAGTGTCTGTGGCTGTCACTGAGATATAAAGCTGGCTTCCCTAGACTAAAGAAAAGGAATCTTGGGAGGGACCCACCCGCTGTGACGTAGCACCTCAGAGGTCATGTGCTTTCCTAAAAAGTTCCCCCACAGTTAACTCTCTTCAGAGCTTCTTGCCCCTCGGGGCAATGAAGACACCAGAAGGAAATGAGACACCCCACCCCCCGTTTTTTAAAATCCATCTAGTGTCTTTTCCACTCGGTGAGTGTGAGCTGCTTGCCGCTCAATCTTTCAGAGGCCTCGCCTTCCCTGCCCCCTTGGGGGGTACATGTAGGTCTGAGCGTCCTTTGATGCAAAGAACTGCACGTGTCTGAGGCTTGTGGTGTGGAGGTGGGGGGGGGGGGGCTGAACTTGAATCCACTCTCAAGGATGGTCGGGACTCCCTGGGGCCTCATCCGAGGGGAGGGGGTTCTTTTCAGCATGTATAAGCCAGGCCTGAACTTCCCACCGGGCTGGGGTCGGTCCCAGGCTGACCGGGGACTATCGGGCCCATGTTGTCCATCTTCTCTCATAGTGATAGCAAGAAATGCGGGGACCCTGTCTTCCCTAGTCTCTAGAGACAGAGGGCTGCTCTCCAGGGTTCCAGGAGCATGAGGCCCCCAGGCAGCCCTGGCTGGCCTTCTGTGTCCTCCAAAATCCAGAGCAGCTGTTATCAGGCCATTCCTTCTGGTGTTAAAACATAACACCCCCAACAATGGCCACATTAGGGGTTTACCTCAGGCCAGCACCCCTGAACTGCATAGTTAGGGTGTCCACTCTAATGCTCAAATTTTACATGGTTCAAACTAGTTTCTGGACCCTCTGTCTTCATGGACCCAAAAGCTGGTACTTCTCCCAATCCCTGATTCCCCTCACTCCCAGTGTACTGTTTCTGTTTCCATTTTTTTTCTTTTGAGTCAGTGTCATATGTATCCTAGGCTGGCTTCCAGTATGTAGGATGGCCTTGAACTTCTGATCGGCCTACGATGAGATTACAGGCATGTTCCAACATGTCTGGTATATGTGGTGCCAAACCCAGGGTTTCCTAAGCAAGCACACTACCCACTGAGCTACATGGCCAGCGTTGTTCCCACTGTGGGAAATACAGATGGCTGCCCCCGGCATCTGCTGACACCTTCTCACAGTTTATGTTCCCTCTCTACACAAATGGTTCTGGGTCTGTCCTGGAACAGGGATGAACTGCCCTTATGTGGCCTCAGCCTCCAGCTTAGGTCCCTGCCAGTCAGCACAGTGACTCCCCCCCACCCCCCCCACCCCCCCACCCCCGCCACTGGCTGCTCCTGGAAAAACAGCTCAGAAATGCCACATGGCTAAGGGTTTCAGTGTGTCCCCATAACACCAAGCTAAGTGACCCTGGGGGAGAGTAGTGTCACACACATGGGTTCAGGCCAGAGCACTGAACCGCTTAGTGCCGTGGCCAGAGGTCCTGCCTGCCCTGGCTTCATGGACTCAAAAGCTGATACCAAAGAAGGGGAGTCAGGACCTCAAAAAGACAGTGCCCCTCACTGTGTGAGTGGAGTGCCGCACCTCTTCCTGTCAGTGATGAGGTTTCTCAGCTGCTCTTGGTGAAAGCCAGAGGCGTGAAGCCAGAGGGAGGGAGGGCTTCTCTCAGTCTGAGGTCTACAGCTCAGCTTGGGTCCTTGACTCCAACTCCTCATCCCTCTGTGCTGGTGAAGTAGGCAGGCCCCAACTGCAGCCTCTCACCTGGCTCTAAGTTTGGTGGCATCCCAAGTTATCGATGGCGAGAAAGAAGGGCTTGTCCCTGCCATGACATGGCCCCAAGCGCTACAGCTCCCAACCAACCTTTCTCTGCGGTTGACATACCAGCTCTGGTTCCTAAGGAGCCTCTTTGGGGCTTGAACCAACCCTGCCTCTCAGAGGCTGGACACCCTTTCACCCCACATCCCTCTCCTGAACAGTCAGGAACCGGCCCCAGGGACTCCCATTTAGGGTTTCCCAAGTTTGAAAGGCCTTCAGGATGCACCGAGTAAGGATGCTGACTACCTCTGGAAGCTTCTGGAATGAAAGCACGGTGGCAGTCAAAGTCTCACATGGGCTCTCATATGAACACCCCTGTGTTGTGAGCTGTGCTTAGCAATCGGCATGTGCTTATCAGGCTACAAAGAGGGGGAGTCTAGAACTCTGACAGCTAGGACACCATTCTGTCTCCCTGCATGTCCCAACAGGAAGTAGGTGCTGTGGACCCCTGTGAGGGCTCTGGCCAGTTCCTGGAAATCTGGAGATGGGCATCAAGAAGCATTGTGTAAGAACTCCGTGCTGCTGAGGCACCCTCCACACAGGCCCCAGGGCCACTGGTCCAGGCTCACTGCCCTCTCCGGGGGACTCCTACAAGGCTACAGCTAGAAGCCTCAACAGGACACTAGACTTCTGCCGTGAGCACTGGGAGGGGAGTCAAGAACTGCTTTGCTTAAGCTACGCTGATTACCATGAACAAGCGAGGAGTCACCAGAGTCGCGGATCTGCCATCTAGCCAGCTTCCTGACACCTGGGACCACAGGCACACGTGGGTAGGAGCCCCAGCACGTGTTAGAAAGTGCTGTGTGTTTGTGAGTTGTGGAGCCAAAGGGAAGCAGAAGCAGGTCAAGGGGCCTGCTCAGTCTGATGGCTGTACTGTTCCAGTGAGCCAGTAAGGAGCCTGCTCCCAGGACGCCAGCACACCCTACGTTCAGATGTCTGCATGGGGACTTGAAGCCCAGGAAGAGATGCCAGAAAGCATAGTGCCTCTGTCAAGTCAGTCAAGGCCTGGGCTGAGTCCGCCCCTTGGCAGGGTTCTGTCGCCCAGCTCGGCAGGATGTCTCCCGAGCAACACCTCTCCTGTCAATCAAGTGACCACCCAGCTGCTTCAGCAGCAGGCATAATGGAAAGGCTGCTGAGCGGAGCAGCTTCCTCTCCCCGTCTGCATGCTCGCTGTGGCCCGCCCCAGACTCCTCTGGAAGGCAGGCTGTGGAGCAAGCCCTGCTCAATCACTTCCGTAACATCAGGGCTGATGCAAGATTCTGTGAGCTGGAGTTCAGGAAACAGCCATCCAAACCCACAGAGCAGCCGTGACCACAAATGAGATGAAGAAACAGCTAATTGTTTGGGAAACCATAAATGTCATCGGGGTTGAAAGGCTTTGCGACTTCTGAGATTGCGTGTGCCGGCAAGGTGGTGCTCACAAGTCAGCCCTCCCGCTGGAGTAGCAGGTGGGAACAGAGGCAGCAAGAAAGGCTTCCCCCACAGCCCTTGTCCTCACGTCACAGGTCACACAGTACCCCACCACCACCACTGTGGACGAGATTCCCAACTCCTGACCAGACTTCAGGAGACCTTATCATCATATGCCAAGTGACTGAGCAGTTTCTGATCCTCCTATAAATTCACCTTCTAGATACTTCTGTGCCCTGCCACAAGCACTTGCTTACAGCAGAGTCCCTCACATAGGGTGCCCTACACGTGTATCCACATACTTCCAATGCCAGGGTAAGTCCACCTCCTAGGCACAGACGCCCGGGCTATGCTACACTCCCTGCCACTACATCTGCTCTTGTGTTCTGGGCATTTAAAGTCTTCCCTTTATCCCAGATGACCCCAGGAACACATGCCTCCCTCCTACATTCCAGATTCATCACCTGCCTAGAAAGAAGCCCCACAGGATCCATGCGAGGCCTAGACCCTGTCTTAAGTCTCCTCTAATGAGAGTCATTGGCCCAGCCGTGGTACTTGTGACTCAGAGGTTGCCTGGGGTGACCAGGATGGCGTGCATATGTGTCTTTGTCCATTCAGTCCAACCCTCTTCCCGACTACTTGCCGTGGACCGAATTCTCTCTGATCTCCAAGTTCATACTGTAAGCCATTAGTCCTTAGGTGATGGCATTCAAAGATGGGGTCCTGCAGTCTGGGGATGAAGCTAAGAGATCGAGAGCTTCCCTAGCATGCACAAGACTCTAGGTTCCATGCCAAGCCTCACAAAATACAAGATGAGGCTGACGTGAGGGAACAGTGCCTTCCCAAGAGCCCCAGGGGCACTTTGTATGTCTCTCTTACAGACGCAGCAGAAAGGTTTCTCTATAAACCCAGCAGAGCCCATCACAGAGCTGGCCACACTGGTACCCTGATCTTGAACATTCAGCCCCTAGAACTGTGAGGAGATGGATGTCTGTGAGATCTTGTTACACGGCCTGACTGACTGCCACAGTCTCAGGAGGCCTGTTTTGCCTAAGTGATTCCTCCATAATGTCCTCAGCCATGCTCACTGGCAGGCACCAAGGTTAAGGGGCTGCCGGTTCAGGACCACAGGGCTGGCCTGTGACAAGGTTTACCCAAAGAGCAGGTGCTGGTGCTCCTGTCGCCTCTGCATCACCTCTGTGCGTCTTTGCCCATCTTCCCCTCCTCTGCCCCCGGCATCTTCACGGACTTGCAGCTCTCTCCAGCTAGCAGCCTCACTGCACAGCTGTCCATCCCACTCGGCCATCCCACTCCCAGGAAGGGACTAACTTCAGTACAGGGCCACAGGAAGAGGGAAGGGGCTCGTAATTCAGGACAAGCACCACAAGGAGACACTGTTCACAGCCAGTCTGCTGGGGGCCGAATCCGCCGTGTCCTTTTATGGGATTATCCCATGCCACCTCTATAAAGGTAACAACAGCCATTCCTAACTTCAGGCTTTGGGGGCGCCTGTGGTGGCCGCTAGGACCCAGCCAGCACGCTGTCACAGTCATGGCGGGGGGGGGGGGGGGGGGGGAGGGGGGTGGTGGTGGCGGGGGAGGGAGAGCCCATCTCCTCAGCCTCCTTCCCCATGTAACACGGGAACCCATGAAGAAGATGGCGGTTCTCAGCCTACATGCATCTCACATGGGTCCTCTTCCTTCAGAGGGGGAGGGTCACAGGTACAAATCACATCCTGCCCCCAAGGAGCACCGGCTGCCTCAGGCTGACCACGTGTGGACCAGAATTCTGAGTCACCCGGTGCTGCAAACCAGAGGCCTCGGGAAGCTAGCCCCAGCAGCAGCCAGCAGCCAGACGACTTACATGCAAGGCTCAGAGCTTCTGAGAAAAGTACCTTGCTCCAAACTGTCCCCGGCTCTCAGGATGAGTAAACCCAGCAGCTCTGAGCCTCCAATTTCAAGTGAGCCCGAGGTGCTAGCCAGGCAATGGCATCCTGCTGGTGGGAGTGGGTGGAGCAGCTTGCACCAAGGCCCGAGGTGGTGAAGGAACCACCTACCTTCAGCTGTGCCCTAGGGGGATGTACATCTGCAAGATCTAAGCAACACAGGACAGTGCCGTGGGGCCCAACTCGGGCACCCTCTGACCCCAGCACCCTTATCTACCAGGCACCTCGGGTAGGCGATGATTTCAATAACCTAGAGCTCTGTCCAGGGGCCTAAAGGGCAGGGTTGTGGGTCAGGTGCACAGGAGATACCACTTGGGAGATGGATAGCTGGCCAGTCAAGCTCACCTTTGGAGTATCTAGAAGCATGGCATACAGGTCTTGTGCAGGCCTCATACTTGGATATATGTCACCCCACTTTGTCCCATCTGAGACATGTTAGCAAGAACCAGTGTGCACACTCGACTTTGGATAGGTCAGAGTAAGACCCTGGGTACATGCCTAGTAACACAGCCTTCTGGAAGGTAGGTCCTCGTAGTATGTCTCCACCCACAGGGACTCTGTCTGTCTGTGTCTGTCTGTCTGTCTGTCTGTCTCTCTCCGTGTGTGTGTGTGTGTGTGTGTGTAGGTGTATAGGGAGACTGGAGATGAATCTCTGGTATTGATGCTCAGGGCTGTCCTTGGATGCTTCCTGGTCATAAGGCAGAGGATGGTACCCTGAGCTATAGGCCACACCATTCATCTGTTTGACTAGCTCTTTTCCTTGACTGTGCTAAAGAGCGCATGATCTAAGATTGACCTAAAACTCAGTGGAGTTCTGGGGGCTGGAGAGCTGGCTTAGTGGAGGGCCACACAAGCAGAAGACAGAGAGGACCAGCTGGTTCCAGGACCCACAAGGGGTCTAACAAGTCACCACAGCTTATGTATTATATCCCATAAACAGTTGACACAAGTGTGTCACGGCTAGACAGAAACTGATAAGGGGACAAGGCCCAGGGAGAGCCCTGCTCTGGTGTGAGGAAGCCCCTGATAGCCCCTGTGGGCCACAGGCCCATGGGGAAGAATGGACATCTCAGCAGATGGGACTATGAGTCAGAAAACCATGGCCCTGGAAGCCAACCCTACGTAGAACGGTGCAGGGTGACAGGAGGGCTCCTGTGCCTAGAAGTGACACAGTGGAGTCTCTTGATGTCAGGGGAGAAAGGACCTTTCATTGGCCCTTAAACTTGGTGAACTCAGAACCCCTGGTGGGTTGTAAAAGCGTGGGCTGAGGCCCAACAGTATTGATCCTGCAGGACAGAGTGGGGCCCTGCATGTCTTTCAAGCTCTGGGTGACCCTCTGCTGCCAGTTGGTGACTATGTGGAGAGGATTACCAGAATCCCATTAAGTACAGAGCTTTTGGAAATGAATTTAGCTAAAGAGAACTCAGAACTGTTCACCAAAAAACACTATTTAACATACTTCAGTTAAGCAAAGAAATGGAAAGGTGTGAGGCTGGAGAGATGGCTCAGTGATTAAGAGTGTGTACATCTCTCCCAAAGACCTGAATTTGGTTCCCAGTACCCACTTTAGGCAGCTCACCCTGTAGCTCCAGCTGCGAGAATCCGACGCCCTCTTCTGACTCCTGTGGGTACCTGCACTCATGTGCACATACCCACGTATACACAAAGAATAAGAAATGGAAAGGGGTATCAGTGGCCTCTGACAGGGCAGAGCAGCGAGCAACTTTGATACTGATACAACCACCTCATGAGATGAGCCTGTTTCCAACACTGGAAGAGTACACACTCCATTACCAAGCAACTCCACAGGCAGGTGAGACATGACTCTGGACACACATACCAGGAGGAAAAGAAAAATTCCAGACAGCGCTGTCTCTAACAGCAAGGAGAAAGCACCTGGAAACAGCAGCAGGATGGGGAAGTGAGCAGTGTGGCGGAATACTGCGAGGCTGGAAAAAAGGTGTGTGTGTGGGGGGGGGGGGGTGATTGCCGCATCACCTAAGGTGGAGAGCAAAAGCAAATTCCAGGAAACTCCGTGGAGAAGGCAGCTTGGCAGGAGCGGTCTCAGGCCTGACAACCAAGCGCACAGTTCAGACACCTGATCTGAGACAAAAGGAAACCACACACATGGAACTCAGGGGGTGAAGGGTGTGTTGAAGACATGCAGAGTCCAGGCACCACGCTTGCCCAAAGCCCAGGAGCTGCCGCGCTGATGAGGCAGGCTGGATGTCATCATGGCTGGATTGGTGCCAGCTCCTCACTGATAAGGAATACCACACACAAACCCTGGAAGATTATACAGCTCAGCCACCTCTTACAGGGAGCAAGGTGTCACAGAGAGGGGCAGGGCGGGACTACGTAGAAAGTGACCTGACACCAGGCTGGCCAGAGTCTGCCCTCTGCTTGGACCCAGGATGAAATATATACATCACACACATGACAATGTAACTAATCTGTAATATGTAAAATACATATTCTTGAGTATATATTACAAATGCTGTGTTATCTATAACAAGCATTCACAGAGCAATTAATTGAAACTGTGAATGCTGCATTTTATGTGAAAATTTTCTCACTTTCAGGAAGGACAGTGGTAAAAAGTAGGAAATTTTTTAAAATTCCTTAGGTTTTGGAGACGAGGTCAGGGAGCCCAGGCTAGCCTCAGACTCCCTCTGTAAACCAGTGATGATGCTGAACTCCCGATCCTCCTGCCTCTACCTCACCAGTCTGGGCTGGCAGGCACACCCACCATGCTTGTCATGTGCTGCTGAGGTGGAGCCCAGGGCTCCCTGCGCTCCGCTGACTGAGCCACATCCCCAGGCTCCTTTAGAGAGTCATGACTGAGGGGGTTATGTAGCCAGACAGCTTTTTCTAAACAAAGAGGAGCTCAGCGGTCAGAGGGACTCTGGTTTAAATTTGCACTCAAGGAGTATCAATCGGTAGTATGCGATTTTGATTCTTATTTGTTCATGTAGTTGATAAAACACGCAAGTCTTCATCTACACACATGCCTCTTTCCTGCCTGAAGCCTCGGGCACATCACTAAGCAGAGGAAGACAGGGTAGGAAGTCCTTATTTAGATCCAACCGAAGACAAGGGACAAAAGGACCTGCTCAAATCGGCCATTCAAATCTTAAAACATCAATTATGTTAAGGCCATGAGTTCATAATGGCTCCAAATAAGTCTCACACACACAACTCCAACTGATCACCAGGGAAGGATGTTAACAAACCGACCTATTATTTTTAAAATGGTAAATAATGGAGAAGAATCGGGGCATTCATCTGGCTTTCCCATCCGTCTGAATTCTCCCATTGTGGGTGCAGGGAAGTTTCCCCTTATAGCTGTTTTCCAGCTTACCGGAGAGGAAGGGTTGGCTGGAGGGGAACAGAGCATTACCCAGTGCAGTTAGTGTCCCAGGGGATTTGTGGGGGGACGCATTCCCTAGCAAGCACTACTAACCTCCCAGGACAGAGGCCACCTGAAGTCCCCACCCCTCCCAACGAGGATACACCACCTTCTGTGTCTGTCAATAATGCTAACATAAGTGACTTCCAGAGGCAGAGGACCAGGCTGAACCCCACCCCCACCCCCACTGGAACAAGAGAGACAGAAAGAAACTAGGCCAGGAGAAACTCCATAGGACAAGTCACCATGTTCATGTTTCTTGCAGTAAAAATGGTTGACTAAATGCTGTGATAGGCCCATCCTTATCAAACATTTGGGGAGCTATTTAAGAGAGGAACAATGGAGCAGTGTGGGGTAAGTCAGACTTAGAACAAAGGCAGCCACTCTCTTGAGCGAATTCTAACGCAAACGCATGATAAAATCATAAAAGAAAACAAGATGGTCTGGGAGACAGCCCGACAGTAAAGTTCCTGCTGCATGCAGGACCCAGAACCTATGTAAAAAGTCTGGACATGCTGGCATACACCAACAGTCCCAGTCCTGGGAAGACAGGTGGATCCCTGGGGTTCAACTGCCAGCCAGATCCGTGAGCTCCAGGGTCAGTGAGAGATCCCCGACTCAAAAAATGTAAGGTGACAAGTGAGAGAGGAAAAGACTAGATACTGACCCTCTGACCTCCAGGGACATAAGAGCAGGGAGAGAGAGGGAGAGAGAGAGAGAGAGAGAGAGAGAGAGAGAGAGAGAGAGAGAGAGAGAGAGAGAGAGAGAGAGATTCGAAGGTCCTCCAGCCATGAGGAGGAAGGCAGCAGGTTGACAGAGGCAGTGAGGGCTTCCAAGGTCCCCACCTGTGCGGGTCCTGCCTTAGGCAGTCACAGGGTCAATGATGCTTCTGAAGTGAATCACAAATTTAAATGGCTATGAGTCCCCATGGGAATGTGACCAAGGCCAGCCAAGCACAGGACAACCAGCAGATGGTGTGGTGCTAAGTAGCCAGACGACCCGTCTTCCACCACGATGCAGGAGGCAAGTGGTGGGGCTGTGGGTGCAGGTGAGTGGCTGTGTCACAGGAGACCACTATGCCTGGGGGCCTGCCTTGCCTTTGACTCCTGATAGCTGCCGAGTGGAATGTGGGCTGAAAGGAGCCAGATCCTTGGCTTTTCTAAGGGACACTGGAAACCTATTTTCTGTACAGTTCCCCACTTCCTTAATGCTGACATCTAATCTAAAAACAAAAACACACTGTGTGGGTAGGCCAAGCAAAATTTTCAGGCTAACTGCACCCAGGGAACACCAGTTCCCCCCAACACACACTTCCCACATCTGAGAGCTGACTACAACCCAATCCATGTGTTAGGAAGACATGGCGAGAGCTATTTAAAATCAGTTTGGGGTCAATTCATTTTTAGGTGCCCAATAAAGCTGGGACTTAAAAGACCCCATCAACTCCCAGAACTCTGTGAGCACCAGCCGCTGGCCAGTCCACAGGCATTCCACCATCCTCCGTTTACACAACAGAACCTCCACTTCATCGAGACTTGGAAAACCAAGAGCCAGGGAGTGTCCCTCCAGCTTTTCTGGGACAGCAAAATCGAAGGGCCACAGATGAAACTCATTTGTTAGTTCACAGCACGCACTTTAGTCCAAAGTGCCTGCAGCCAATGGTCCTGCCACAAACTCAAGCTGGGTGCCCCACGCTGGATGCAATGGGAGCCAGGGGCTGTCCGCTCTGCTCACCTGCCCAGAGATCTGGCTTCAGAGACGTATAGAGGGTGAAACAGACATCAGTCCAAGCCCGACAGGCTTTGTGCCTAAGGACCGGAGCAGACACCGCTCACGCCCGACCCTGAGTGTCTTCACCTACAGACACAGAACGGATGGTGTGGATGAGCAAAGCAAGCCTGGCCCTTCCTTTATAAAAGGTCTCAATGTGACTGGATCCCCAGATCAGTAAAAAATTAAAGAGGTGTCAAAAACACCGTGGGAAAGAGCCAAGTCGATGGTTTAATCATTCCCCAAGACCCAAGCCCTTCTCCAGGTGCTAAATCCAAGTCCAGCGCATCCAGGGCAAGAAGCAAGTCCAACAGAATGGTAGAGGGCAAAGACCAAACCCAAACAGCAGCTCTGTGGGATGGGAAAAACCTACAAATTCTTTACACAAGAGGCACAGGGTGGGGGCTCAGCCCCTGGGAGAGCAAAATTCCACCAGCTGTCCAAAGTGAATTTACGGCTGGGGAGGGAAGAGCAGAGAAAAGTATAGAAGGAAGATTCGTCTAACTGCTGGCCAGTCAGATCCTAGCCTGGAGCCCCTTTTTGGGGTGTGCTTATGCCCAGAGAGGTAGGCTACAGCTAGAACATATATTTGAGGGAAATAAACAGGTATTTATATATTACATAAACACACAAGACTACTTTAAGTGTGGCCTGGGAGATGGGCCCAGCACAGTCTACAACACTCTGTGTCGTGACACCCCAGGTTTCCCCGAGAGGCTGTAACATCTGCCCTGATTCAAGTGAGGTACCAGGGGCTCCTGCACACCGTGCTAAGACACAGTGGCAGCTGGGCCCTTCTGCCTCTGTCCTAATAGGAACTGAAGTATAGAGAGGTCGCTGTGACTTCCTTTGTCCAGCCGACCCCCTTTTCCCACTTGTGACTGTAGGGAAACAGCCTGCGAGGAGGTGGCTGAAAACATCTACCTCTCAGAATCCCAGAGAGAGGTAGAGCTTGCTGGAGTCTGGCATCAGCAGCTGGAGGCAGCTTCGTGTTGTGAGCCAGAAGCTCGGAGTACACAGAGAATAAACTGAAGGTCTAAGCGGCACAACAACAACGTGAGGTACTAACGGGCAGGGTGGAGGTACACTGAGGCACAAAACTGAGGCACTGCTGGGAGAGGAGAGACTCAGGTCCACTACAGGCTCACTTAAGTGATCCTCAAATGGTAACCCTCGTCATCTTGGTGGGTTTGCCTGGGCACAGGTGGGGTTTTCTGAACTTTGGAACTTTTTTAGGAGCCTTTGATTCTTAGAATAATCTTGAGCATCGGAAGCCATCTTCACTACAGAGCGGGCACCACAGAGAACAGACACCCAGGGAGGAAGCCCAGTCAGAACCTCTAGACACGACAGACCCCAAATTGAGACTGGGCCCATGAGCCAGAACGGGCCCTGCTTGCCATGGGACAGGTGTGTAAGACACTGTCCTCGATGTTTATGACAGCAACTGATCTCGCACTGCCCGTGCATAGGGAGTGTGTGTTGCTGCTTCTGTAGAAGGTGAGGAACTTGGATCAGCATCTGTTCATGGCCCAGGACTCAGGACCCAGGACAAAAGTTCCCAAGGTGAACGGCAACTGTCCCCAAGGCACTGGCCTTAATTCTTTACAAGAGAAGGGGTGAAAACCAAAACCAAAAACCAAAACCAAAACAAACAAACCAACAAACCCTCACTTACTCCTGGTCCTCATACCCGTAGAGGGTGGTGGTACATAAACACAGTCTGTTTGTAATGCCTGTGTCCCACGGCTCAGAGACTAAGAAAACAACATCAAAATCGGAAAGAGGACTGGGGATGTAACCCAGGGGTAGAGCACTTGCCTGGAATGTACAAAGCGCTGGGTTTAAATCCCAGTATGCACTCCCATACACAAAGCTATGAAGATCCAGGCTGTAATTTTGGGATGACCCACTTGTAACACAACACTATTGATTTGGGGGTGGATGTTAATATAGTTCAATATTTAAATATAGTGGAAAATACTGTTTTCATCCCATGTCTACTGCTCATGCATTTCCTATGAAGAACACGAGCTGAACAACTTTCAAAACAGCACTTCCCGCGCCCATAGACGCTTGCTCACATGTGTGCATGACGTAGGCTGTCCCCACAGGTCATGTCCAGGCTCCAGCCAGCACCAGACCACATCCTCTCTCCCCAGGAGGCAGAAAGACATCAAGGATGCCCGTTGAGTTGGGCCCCTGCTCCTTCTGCCCCCACAGTCTCCTTCCTGTGGCTCAGCCCCGAGGGTGCACCCATGCCCCCAGGGCCTGTGGTGGACTTGGTGGTGAGCTGGCCTAATGACCTTCAAACCACAGTTCAGCTGTGGCATCAGCATGGTTCCTAGGAGGCATTATCAATGGTGAGAGTCACAGGTGACAGTCACTTCTGAGTCCCCTTTCCCTGGCATGGCTCCCAAGGGCCTGCATCCAGGCACAGAACCACAGCCCCTCCGCGTTCACACTAAGGAAGTGGTGGAGGTTAACCTACACTCTTGCCCTACTTTGGCCCTTCTAGATGCGTCTCGAACAACCCAACTTGGGGAAAGATGCTCACCTCAGCTCCATCTTCTTCCTGCTGGGGATTCACCTTCACCAAAGTTAGCTGTATCTAAAATGAATGTGCATCCCAGGCACACACTCTGAGAGTCTCAGACTACAGACCATATCGGGCCCTATGAATACTTTGTGTTATCTAAATGTGCAAACCCGTGAAAACAATTTCCAAACTAGACCACTGACAATAAAAGAACCATTATAGGAAAAATTGTGTAAAACTGTTTCTTTCCAGAATTTTCCATCTAATATTTTGGACTAAAGTTGAACATAATAACCTGAAACTGAAGAACAAAAATTCAAAGATAAGGGGGTGGGGATGACTGTAAACTTTTGGTTGTCCTGGAAACAACACGTGAACTTGACTCTCTCCTTCCAACCCTTGCCTCCTTCACGACTGTTTCTCAAAGGCAGCCAGAGCCACCTTTTCCAAAAATACCTAGATTACCGCTGCAGAAAACCCCCAACACCACCTGCTGCTCTGACCTCAAGGCCACCATCACCTGCTGTTCCCACTCTCCGCCCGCCCGTCCCCCCAAATGCTCTCCCTTCAGACCTTCCAGCTGCCATCCAGCTCCCAACCTGTGTGACTTTCCTCATTTGTCATGATTCACTCCCTCAGACATTGGCATCTACACTTACATCTGTCCCTGAACAGAACAAAAATGCCCCAAGACAAGGCTTTGCTTCTTATCTCCCACCCCCACCGCCCCGTCCCCAAAACGCCTAGGGCAGAGCCTGGCTCAGGAGGAGCCAGCAAATACTTGGGGATCTGGGCATGAACGGTGGGAGAGATCAGGGGCCAAGGACCCAGGGGGATGAAGTGAGAGGAAAGGGAGAGCTGGAGAGGACAGCGGAGGGACAGCGGAGGGACAGAGGAGGGACAGAGGAGGGACTCAGGTACTGGAGCAGCAGTACTACGTGCAGCCTGAACTACCCAGGTACAATCTGGGGCTTTAGGAAGAGAGAGTAGGTCCACCAGCGAGGACAGAGCAGGTCAGCATTTAGGGACATATCAAGGGCAGGTGAAGGGGACCCACTGCATCTGAAATGTCACACATTTCCCGTTTCAAGGAGACTTTTGTAAGCATCTTTACCCACCAGAGTAGGAAAAGTAGATGAGCTCTCGGCCCAAGAAGGAATAGGCCCAGAATCGTCAAGAGCACGCAGGAATGCAACCCAGAAGAGGGGCACTTGGTCATGGGCCAAGTTTGGAGACACTAGGGTATGGAGCTCCTTGCACCCAGGGGAGAGGCTGGGCAAACTTCCAAGGCCAATGTTTGCCTCTGTGCAGAGATTCATGTCCACTGTCCCCTGCTCACACACTGCCAGTGTGTGACCTCTGTTCTGGGCTACCAGCTGTGGCTTCATGGAGAGAGACCCCTTTAATGACAGCTGAAAGGACCCCAAACCCAGTCACCCTCAGGCAGATAGAAGCATGTCTTGAGTCTATCTGTCTGCTTTAAACCCCAAACAACAGATCAAGAACCCTATGCCACAGAGGAACGTGTGCAGGGTCCTGGGTGTAGGGCCAGGCCTCTCGGGAGGACCCAAAGCCCTGGCAGCCAAGAGCTAAACTGCATCCACATTTTCTGAGTTCACCCTGGAGCACAGTAGGGCCACACCGAGCAGAGCTTTGGGAACAAAGTAAGCCAAGCCCCAAACAAACTGGCCAGTGACACAGTGCAGCCTTGGGGACACATGGCTCAGACCCAGGGGTAAAGCATAAATGGAGAAGCCTGAATATAGCATTTGAGGGACCAGCGCTGGACTGCAGGATCAGACCTGCTGTGGGCCACACCTCCAGGGCTGTGTGGGCTGGCAGAGGACGACAGAGACCCTGAGAATGGCTTCCCTCAAAGTGTGTAATACACTGCTGTCTAGGAAGTGCCAGGCACCTCCTGGTCTTACAGATTTTTTTTAATGTCAACCAGGACAGTCAAGGCTCTGAGAAGTCCCACAACAAGCCAACCTTTTCACCTTTTAAAGCCACAGAATCTTCTAGCAGAGGATTCTCCCCAGTTACCAGGGTGGGGGGGATGAGGGGGCCACACACACACACACACACTGTGAAGAGGTACTGAAGAAAAGCCTCCTCCTGCTGGGGAAGCCATCTGTGCTCAAATCTCTCCCTGTCTGAGGGCTGAATCATGATGGGGGAGGGGAGCTCACCCCAACACACCTGTGAGCCTGTCTGTGTCTAGAAAGCCATCTCTGGAGGCCCCACAAGGCCCCCATACCCAGCTGCTTCCTCTGTAACATGAGCCATCCCATTTGTACATCTGTGGCTGTGGCGGACTCAGGGGACCACCTCTGACCCATCCAGGTGTCTCCCTACAGTTCCATAACTAAGGTGACTGGCATTCATCGTTAATGCAGGACCATGGTGAGGACGGGAGGGGCCGGCACGTCTCTGTTCCCAGAGACCAAACCAACGCCTCCCCAGAGGCTTCTGGGAAACACCCGCCCTGTTCAGACACCTAAAGCACCTTGCCTCCAATGGGGTCAGTCCCCCACCTCCACATGGAGTGAGGCCAGTTCCACTCAGGGCTCTGGGAGCGGCTGCCATTGGCTGCTGCTCTGTTGAGCTCTTTGCCAACAACCCTCTTTAAACCAAGCAGTAAGGCTGGCTCTCACCGCGACGTCTAGCAGTCACAGATGAGCGTGCCCAGGTCACCTCCCAGCTCTCCGTCATTGCTGCACTTGAGCACCAGGCTCCATTGGTTCTTCACACAGCATTGCTATTGGGTTGGTCTGCCCAGGCCTGTGGGGCAGCGCTTCAGAAAGTGTCCCAAAAGGTCTGTGGTTTAACTCTTTGGCTGATAGTTCCATCAGAGAGACGGAAGCTGTTAGAAGTCTCGGAACACCCAGGTAGCCAGTCCGGACAAGACTTCAAAGACTCTGAGCAAACACAGCATAATTGCCTGTCACCCACATACCTGCCATCAGTCCCAGGCTCTATGGTAACCACAGCAACTGTTCTAGAGCACCCTACCCTGGTCCCCGCTGGGCTCTTGGGAGTTAGCAGTCCTAAGTTATTGTGCTTTCAGGGGTAGGATGGACATCCTCAATCCAAAAATCCAAAATGCTCTAAAATTCAAAACTTGAATATCAAAATGATTCCTAGGAAGTTTCAAATTCTAGATTTCTCCAGATTTCAGATTTGGGGGTTAGGGATGTAGAAATGATAACACAGTGTTGCAGAGGATCCCCAAACCCAAACCACGTTTGTCCTGGAGGTTCGGAATGAGAGACACTCCACCAGGAATCAGATGCTACTGCCCATGAGCTGTGAGCTGGAGCTGGGGGCAGGGAGCAGCCGGCCACTTAGAGTTTCTTCCTCCAATTCAGAAACCTCCATCCCAGATTTCTGATTTTCTGAACCCTCAAAAGGAAGAGAAGTCTCCTCTGCCTGCCCCACCCTCTCTGCCTCCTGGGTGCACCTTACTCATCTCAGGTGAGTGTGGCCTCCCTCAGAGCCCAATCAACCCATCTCAGCTGCTCTGACAAGCCATGCCTCGGCCCAGGCCATGTACCCACAAGCTGGGGGCACCTTCCCACAAAGCCTTTTTCCATCCTCTCCCTGGCCCTGCCACCCCATCAGCTGAGCTCGCCCCAGCGGAAGCCCATTGCTACCCCCCATCAATGGTCCCTGTGTCCCAGCAGCACGTGCCAGAGCTGCCCGCAGCCCCATTCATGGTCCTGATAGAGCCCCTTTCAAAGCTGGGCTCCTTCCTCGCTCTCCGCCCCTCCCCCACGCACAGAAGAGGGGCATAAAGTGGGATTTTCCTCCACACGAAAGAAAGGACTCTTCCTTCCTTTCTGTTTTCCTGCCGTCCATCTAAATCTGGCCACGGAAGGAGTATGGACGTGGTGAGACAGGCCCAGTTCATGACCTCAGGGGACACTCCGGTGGCCAGAACTCCCTTCCTTGGCTTTTTCTACTGGAGTGTGTGTGTGTGTGGGGGGGGGGGGGGACGGACAACTGTGACTGCCAGCACCCACCCCCAAGCTCCCACAGGGAGATGGTGGTGTAACACTAAAGGTTATCTTATATCAGCCCTCAGGTTAAAATGGAGATACTGAGGCCCAAGGAGGTGGCAGGGTAGAATGGGCCACATGGGGGCTTCCGGGACAGGGACACGGAGCAAGCACAGCTTCTTACCGTCATCCAGGTAGGTCTGGTCCAGGTTCTGTTCCTGTTTGATTGCCACTCCGGTGGGCATAGCATCCTTCTGGTCACTGACTGGGGGTCCGTTTTTGGTAGCTCTTTGGCTCAAGGCAGTCTGTTGTTGGATGACCGTGGGGTAAGAGCCTGGGCTCAGCCTCTGACCTTGGTTGATGGACGGTGGGACAGGCCTGGCAGAGCTGGGGCCAAAGTTTTCACAGTACATGATATGCTGGAACTCCTGGTGCCCCCCGCCACGGAGCTGCTGGTTTGTGGGTGAGTAGTGAATCACAGGTGAGGCCTGCTGGCTAGCGGAGGATGTGTGTGGCAGGGTGGATCCTTGCCCCTGGCCCTGAGAACCAGCGTGCACCAGCACAGAGCGGTGGGCATCGGCCAGGCCCAAGGGTGCTGCCAGGAGAGCTGGCTGCTGGTAGCCCAGCAGGCCTGGACTCAAGCTCTTGCTCCTCTGGTAAAGAGCCGCCGCAGGGCTCTGCTGCTGGTAGCGGGCATCGGGGGATGAGAGCCCCGAGCGGAACTGTTGGCAGGGGGCCATGGTAGCCACAAGACAGGAAGGGGACTCGGCCAGCATTGGGTGCTGTGGGTAATATGGCTGGCTCCCCAGGCCTCCATGGGCAGGGCTGCAGATCAGAGAAGGGTCATACTCATCACTGGGCTCCGTCTTGATGGCAGGGACTGTGGGAGAGAAAAGCACAGGGCTGCTGAGGAAACAGCGGCCAGAAGCCTGGCTTTGGGAAGCCGAGTGGGCAGGAGCCTGGCTTTGGGAAGCCGAGTGGGCAGGAGCCTGGCTTTGGGAAGCCGAGTGGGCAGGAGCATGGCTTTGGGAAGCCGAGTGGGCAGGAGCCTGGCTTTGGGAAGCCGAGTGGGCAGGAGCCTGGCTTTGGGAAGCCGAGTGGGCAGGAGCCTGGCTTTGGGGAAGCCGAGTGGGCAGGAGCCTGGCTTTGGGAAGCCGAGTGGGCAGGAGCATGGCTGGTCTGTCGCTCATTAGCCTTGGGCCATAAGATCCCCCCCTGGAATTGTCTTCAGCTGAAACGACCTCAGTAATGCCCTTGAACTACAAGCTTTGCCGGCTGCGGATGGGTAGAGGGTAGGCTTGACTCAGGGCCAGAGTCTGCTCTGCCTCGTCCCTCAAGGTGGGCGTTGAGAGGAGAGAGCTTTAGTGACTCTCCTCCTCTTGACCCATCTGTCCCCATCATCCCCCCGCTGTGTTCCTCCTACTGGACACTGTCCAACACAGTCAGCCATGTTCAGTCTTCACTGCCAACTTGACAGGATCTAGAGTCACTAGGAGACATGCCTCTGGGTATGCCTGTGAAGGGGTTTCTGTGCGGAGTGAGCACAGCGTCACCCCATGGGCTGGGTTCCTAACCTGGATAAAAAGCATCTGTCTCTCGGTTTCCTGACTGGGATGCACGGTGACCCGCCACCTCCCACTCCTGTCAAACTTTCCTACCGTGAAAGGCGGAATCTCCTCTAAAGGTCAAAAGAAAACCTTCATCCCTCACGCTGCTTTTGCTGGGTATTGATCATAGCAAGGAGAGAAGCGGGCAACCCCTGCCCAATGCCTCCATCACCAGGTTCGGGAGCGGGGGGGGGGGGGACAACTTCACTAATGGGCGAGAGGACTGTCACCAAGTGTGAGCAGGGCAGCCTCCGGAGAGTCAGGGTTAGAGGAGGCGAGCAGGACTACAAGTCTGACTCCAGGTCCCCAAGACCACTTCTGCAAATGCCACTCAAAGGCCAGCATCTCAGTTCTGGACAGCCAGAGACCTGAGGGGTGGACCTTCTGAGGTCCTGATCCACCAGCCCAGCACTGACACTCAGCCCAGGGAGGCCTTGCTACTGCAGACGCTGGGAGAACACCAGAAAGCAGAGGACACAGCCTCCTTACTGAAACCCAGAGCTCTGCATTGGACCAGGTTCTCCCTGCAGCTTTGGGGCCTATGGGATGCCACGTCTGCTCCCTGCAGCATGTCACATCAGTCCTCATGGTGGCATCCTCACAGGAATCTCACAAGTCTACCATGCACCTTGCTGAAGCTGGGCCCACCCAGGCCAGATGTGTAGACCAATCAGAGACGGTGGAGCTCTGGGGGTTTCAGGGCTGGGATGACGGGTTTACACCCCTTTCCTAGCCTGGAGAGAGGGAGGGGTGGGCTTTCCCAAGGGTGAGTCAATCTGTTCTGTAGCTGCTGTCGTTACTAACCTACCGGTGACCCTGGGGTTGTCACTGGAACCACTCTGTGAGAGGTTAGTTCCACTTTCTTGGGCCGACAGAATTTCATGAATGAGACTTTCTGCTCTGGCTGTGCCTCAAGTGACTCCACCCATGTGCGGACAGTCAAGGACCCTGAGAATTCTAGAGCATGTCCACCTTGACCCTGAATGTGATCAAACCTAGGACAGGGAAGGACAGCAAGAGACATCTGCCTAGCAAATGCCCCACCACCAAGGTCAACATGGATGACACGGCAGCTGGCATCAGGGGAGCTATTCTTACAGGGAAGAGCCTTCCAACCCAAGAGAAAACTGAGGCTCAGAGGGTGCGAGTCACTTGGCCCAGGTAACTGAGCTGGGAGCAGATGTGGGGGGGGACTGATCCTTGGTCAGTGTTGTCTGGGAACCTGAGGGGTGTCAGGGAGAATGTCTCACCTGGGTGGTAGGTAAAGTGTTGTGGCTGACTTCGTTTTCTCTTTCCATTGATGACGTAGAAGTTCACTTTCACGGGTACGCGGATGTGCTTGTTCCGATACTCGGGGATCTCAACAAAAAGCATGTTCTAGAAGGAAGCAGTTGTCATGAACTTGACAATATACAGCATGCTAGGATTCCTACTGGGATCCCAACCAAGTCCACCCAGGCCCACCTACAGCAAGCGGGCCGTCTGGCTTCCTTCCCTACATTTAAAGAGAAATTTGATGGAAGGGAATTTAATTTTCATCTCAGCAAGGGAAGTTGATCTAGCAGAGTGTGTAAAGATGTCATGGTCACAAACCAAAGGGCCTGGGGCTCAGTAAGTGGCCAGCTCACTAAGTGCGGTTTGTACTTGCTAAGTGACTATGAAGTTTACTAGGGAGAGGAGGGAGAGAGGGAGGGAGGGAAGGAGGGAGAGAGGGAGAGGGAGGGAGAGAGGGAGGGAAGGAGGGAGGGAGGGAGGGAAGGAGGGAGAGGGAGGGAGGGAGGAAGTGAGAGGGAGGGAAGGAGGGAGGGAGGGAAGGAGGGAGAGGGAGGGAGAGAGGGAGGGAGGGAAGGAGGGAGAGAGGGAGAGGGAGGGAGAGAGGGAGGGAGGGAAGGAAGGAGGGAGGGAAGGAGGGAGAGGGAGGGAGGGAGGAAGTGAGAGGGAGGGAAGGAGGGAGGGAGGGAAGGAGGGAGAGGGAGGGAGAGAGGGAGGGAGGGAAGGAGGGAGAGAGGGAGAGGGAGGGAGAGAGGGAGGGAGGGAAGGAAGGAGGGAGGGAAGGAGGGAGAGGGAGGGAGGGAGGAAGTGAGAGGGAGGGAAGGAGGGAGGGAAGGAGGGAGAGGGAGGGAGAGAGGGAGGGAGGGAAGGAGGGAGAGGGAGGGAGGGAGGAAGTGAGAGGGAGGGAAGGAGGGAGGGAGGGAGGAAGTGAGAGGGAGGGAAGGAGGGAGGGAGGGAAGGAGGGAGAGGGAGGGAGGGAGGAAGTGAGAGGGAGGGAAGGAGGGAGGGAGGGAAGGAGGGAGAGGGAGGGAGAGAGGGAGGGAGGGAAGGAGGGAGAGAGGGAGGGAGAGAGGGAGGGAGGGAAGGAGGGAGAGAGGGAGGGAGAGAGGGAGGGAAGGAGGGAGAGAGGGAAGGAGGGAGAGGGAGGGAGAGAGGGAGGGAGGGAAGGAGGGAGAGAGGGAGGGAGGGAAGGAGGGAGAGGGAGGGAAGGAGGGAGAGGGAGGGAGAGAGGGAGAGGGTAGGGTAGGAAGGGGTGAGGGAGAAGAGAAAAAAGAAGGAAGGGAGGAATAGAGAAAAGGGGGAGAAAATAAAGAGGGAGGGGAGGGGGAGCAGGGGACAGAGACCTCAGTGGGCACTCTGGGGCTTACAGGCTGGCTCTTGTCTTTATCCACCGTGGCTTCCATCTCCCAAACCTGCTGCCCATCTGGAAAATACAAAAACAACAGCCTTTGAAGGAACCAGGAGAAGCCAAAGATGTAAGACAGAGCCCCCAGCCCATGGTCCCCATCAAATCCCCTCAGGGAGGTGTGTCAGAGTGCAGGTGTGCATGTGGTGGGGGGAGGGAGGGAGAGAGAGAATGTGTGTGTGTGAGAGATTGTGTGTGAGAAAGTTGTGTGACAGGGAATGTGTGTGTGAGAGAAATGTGTGTGTGTGTTATGTGTTTGAGAGAGTGTGTGTGTGTGTGTGTGTGTGTGTGTGTGTGTGTGTGTGTGTGAGAGAGAGAGAGGGGGGGGGGGGGAGGGAGGGAGAGCAAGCGAGAATGAGAGTGTGTGTGTCCACATATTCAAATAGTTCTTTTTGCAGGAGAGAAACGTGTTGCCAACAGAAAACTTAGCAGAGAAAGATCGAAAACTCGGAGGAACCGCAGACTCCACCACCATAATCTCTTCCAATCCAAACGCCTATTTCTCTGTCTTAAAATAAAGTCACAGTTCTCCATGGCACCTGATTACATTTGTGTATTTCCGAAAGGTCCTCAACCCCAGGCTGTCTCGGGAGCCTCCTTGTGGTTCCCCTCATCTGGGAACACAGGTGGTTTAGCTATCTCACTCTAAATCAGGACAGAGCAGATGACCTGAGGGTGCCTGACTCATGGGTCACCAGGAAGTGAGGGGACCCCGAAGCCCGCTCTGCGCTCCCACGTGAGTCACGGTCGTGAGTGGCTGAGAGGGCTCTGCTTAGCAGTGGCCTCTCGTTCTCAGGGGCAGAGGACCGCTCATTCCCCAAGTCTGAGGCCAGCCAACAGGGCCAAACAAAACTCTTCATTTTCAAATTATAGATTTCTCTCCTGACCACCTACACTGACCGCTGGGCTGTTTTCACTGAAACAAAACATTTCCATAAGGGCTTCCAGGGTGTTTGCGGAGCACGAATGCTGAAGGATATTAAATGATTTTATGAGAAAGGGAACATTCTCGAAACTAGTAAATGCTTGGAAAATGCTGAGTCAAAGTCCACTGGGTTCCTTGACTCGGCAGAGACTCCAGCATGCTCACACTACGGTGGGCTGTGAGACAGAGCACACCCCAACATCTGGCCTCAGAACTCTATCTCTTTCTGGGGCAAAGCCGTTAGTGTCTGCTGTAATCTCTTAGGACCCCCAACTCTGAGGGTTGGCCAGGGAGATGTGGGTTGTGAGCAGCATTTGAACTTACTGGCCTAGGAACACCCCCCCCCCCAAAAAAAAAAACCCAACCTAACAAAAGTCCTGTAATTGTTACCAAGTCGGTGTTATTGGAGCGTCTCAGGATAAGGGATAAACCAGAGAGCTCGGCGACAGCTTCAGTCCCGGCTTTGTGAGGTACACGTCTAAACTTGGACTCTAGCAGCCACATAAGAGGCCAGGTACGGCCACACTTGTGCCTGTAGCCCCCGTGCCGTAGGAGTGACGATGGGAGGACCTCTGAGGCTCACTAGCTGCCAACCTAGCTCTGGGTTCGGTGAGAGACACTGACTCAAAAAAAAAAAAAAGACAAAAAACAAAACAAAACAAAACAAAAAAGCAAAGGTGGAATGTGATAGAGCGGGCGGGCACCCAGAGTCGTCCTCTGGCTGCTGCTATGGCACACACAGATGCACGTGCCCACGCAGACACCACACTCCCAAAGTGAGATGCAGAGTGACAGAGAACACCCAACATCAGACTCTGGCCTCCTCATGAACACATACAGATGCAGGTGCTCACATACACATGGTGTACACACATACACACACACACACACACAGAGAGAGAGAGAGAGAGAGAGAGAGAGAGAGAGAGAGAGAGAGAGAGAGAGAGAGGTCTTAGAACCCTTTGGAAGGAACCAGGTGACAGTCCTGGCTGTCTACTGACCACGTTGTGAGAAAAAAAAAAAGCCATAATGGGATATACAAAAATGTCGTCAGCTGTAATGACTACTGAGGGGACAGGAGAAGCCACTCCAGAGGCAGGAGAAATGGTGGCCAAATGGACTCCAAAGGCAAGTGGCTGGAAGCTGTCAACAGCCAGCTCTACAATGTGCAAAGGCCCAGACAGGTCTAGTCAGGGGTTATCCTCACTTTTCCGTCAAAGAAAAAGACCAGGCTGCATAGCCAGGCTCTGGGTTCCAACCTTGCTCACTGAATGCAGCGTGAATGCTGAGCCAGAAGCCCACGTGGGGAGCTGTAAGGGGTCCCCCCCCTCTTGCTTAGCCTCTCACTGCCTGAGCTTAATTCCACATAAACCTCACTGCCTGGAGGAGCACTTGGGAGGCTGAGGCAGGGGCCAGCCTGGGCTACAGAATGACTCTCAAGAAACAGACCAAAAAGACCGAGAGGGGAGGAAGGAGGGGAGGGATACAGGTGGTTGGGTTCAAAGCTCATCCTTGGGAGGTGAAGACAGAATTCCTTGAAGAACTGTCAAGAAGTTGAGCTGATCCTTGACCTGTGGTACAGGAAATCCTGACATGCAAAATGGCCATGTTCACGAAAGGGTATCACACGGGTTATGACAGATATGCTCTTTGGGTCGATGGACCCAGGAGAAAAGGACAGAGGCCTCACCCTTCGCTGATGGGCATGACTACCCAAGGGGGTGCTGCCAATAGGAGCTGAGCTTGAGGACAGTCTAGAAGTGAGTCAGCTCAGTGCCGTCAACAGGGGAATCTGAGGCTCGGAGGAAGTTCGTGTAAAGATACAAACTATTGAACCACAGCCTCCAAGCTACAGTCAAGCCCAAGCGAACAGTGAACCGGAAGAGGAAGGCGGCCAGCTCTGAGATGCTGAAGATGGGCATCTGTAGGCAGAACCTTGAAGTCACCCCCGTGGCAATGACAAATTCTCAAGCCCTCCTCAGACCCTTCCTGCCTCCTGTGCCCCTTGCCACCAACACAGCTCTGCCATGGCCCTCAAGATCCTTATATACCAGCTCCTGCCTTGCTGCCCTGGGCACCATTCTTAACTAACTCTTAATGCCTGTCCAGGTCCCAAAATCTTTTGTCCCTCAGATTCCGAACTGTTCCTCCAGACGCTGCCCAGAAGGCATGTCTGGCCTTCTCCCACTAGCTAAGTTGAGTCCCAGTCAGAGAGGAGGGCACTGGTTAGGGTCACAGGGTTTACAGAGGAGGAAGCCAGACTAGACCCGGCAGGATCGGGCAGCCTGGGCTGGGCACACCTGAGTGGCATTTCACCCCCCACAGCTTAGGTGTCGGCTCCTGTCCTTAAGACTTGAGTTTCCTGGGGGTGCAGCTGTGCAAGGCAGGGCCCTCTGGAGCTGGCAGGTGAGGGTTGTGGGAAGAACGTGGGTGTCGGAGGAAATGCCTGCCCACTCCAGTGCACTGGCGGACCTCTGTGGTGCACTGCCTAGAAGACTTTTTGGAAATGCCCTGCAACAGTGCCAGCTTCTCTCTGTCCCCTGCAGCATTTAGCCATTTTATTCCAAACTTCGAAACAAACAGACCTGGCCTGAAATCTTTGCTTGCCCCCAATTAGCTGTGTGGCCTTGGATAAGACGCTAAGTCTCTCTGTCTCTGATTTAAAACATGAGGGCACTGGAGCATTTACATCTCCTAGTGAGTACATAGATCAAAGTGTCAGGCTCCGTCCGGCGTTGTGTAAGCACACGATAGATGTTCAGTGGGGGCTGCTATGGTGGAGTACCTAGGTTATTTGAACACAGGCACATATCTCCACATGAGTTAAAACTGAAAATGCACACATTTTAAAGTCAGAACCTAACAAGAATTCTCTGTTTGCAATAATGAATGTCTACCTGCAGGGCTTGGCTGGAATCTACACAGGAAGGGTGCTGGGGTGGTGTCTCTTACATGAGACGGCAACATGGCTCCCTGCTGCTTTGCTTTGGAAAATGGGTCTTTTTCGAGGACTGGAGAAACAGCTCAGTGCTTGGAAGTACTTGCTGCTCTTGCAGATGACCCAGGTTCCATTCCCAGCACTCACAGGGTGGCTCACAACTGCCTGTGACTCTAGCTCCAGGAGCCCCAACACCCTCTTCTGGCCTCTGTGGGTACTGCACTCACATGGTGCATAAACACATACATAATTAAAAAATAAATCTTTAATATATATAAAGTATTTTAATGGGTCTTTTCAAGTTGGGTGCCACGGCACACACCTGTAATCTCAGCCTTTGGAGCTGGGGTGTGAGAATTTGGGGGGAGAGGGAGGGAAAATGAGGAGGAATGAGGAGGAGGAAAAAGAAGAAAGAAGGCTGTATGTAAATAAAAATGCAGCCAGCAATGACCAAAGTCAACTAAAGTCAGCGTCTCCATTCTGTCTTTTAACTCTTCAGTACCCAGAGACTCAAAGTGCAGGAGCTTGGGGACCCAGCCTGGCTGTGCACGCTCACAGAGCCTGTACTCAGTTCTGAGCACAACAGCTCCCAGCGGAAAGTGAAAGCTGGTCTCAGCCATCTTCTCTGCAGAGCCACATCACCCAGAAGGCTCAGTCAGAGGCTGGGCTTGAAAGAGAGTGTGTGGTTTGCTATGTGTCTCAGAGCCATGCTTGTGAGCAGCCCTGCGTTCCCTGCACCCCCCCCCCCACACACAGTTGCACACATCCTCAGGGTCATGGGAGAAGTGAAGCTATGAGTATTGCTGAATACTGCGCTCTTGAGGCCGTGCCTTCGAAATTAACCCCCCCCCCCCCGAGACTTCCCTAAGGCTCACCTCACTCTAACCAGGTTCACGTCCGGCGGCCAGCACTGACTGCCAGTGTAACCCTCAAGTGAGTGGGGTCTTATTATGTTGCATTCTTGCTCAATGAATAGATTGGACATGGAAGGAACTCATAGATAAGGATGAGCGGAATCCATTATTGCAGCCTGTAGCCAATAAAGGAAGGAAGGATGGACTAGTGAATGGATCAACGGGTGGGTGTATGAATTGATGTAGAGTGGATGGATGGATGGATGGATGGATGGATGGATGGATGGATGGGTGGATGGATGGGTGGATGGATGGGTGGATGGATGAGCAGATGGGTATATGGATGGGTAAGTAGGAGGATGGATAGATATATGGATTGTGGGTGGATGATGGATAAATGAATGGATAAGCAGATGGATGGGCAGATGTATGAAAGGGTAGGTGAATGGATAGATGATGGATGAGTGGGTGGGTGGATGGATGGGTGGATAAATGTCAATGTGGTAAATGATGGGTAAATGTATGGGTGGGTGAGTGAGCAGATGGATGGGTGTGTGAGTGGATAGGTAGATGAATGGATGGGTGGGTGGACAGATGGATGGATATGTGGATGGACAGATGGATAGGTAAATATAAGCTATGCCAATACTGGGCAGTCCTTAGAATAAGGTAGATCTATATTTTCCTAACTGGAAAACATACCCTATTTTATTAAGAAGCAACCTGACTCAGTGTCTACAGACCAGTATATGTGGCATGAGACCATCTTGCAGTCTATAAACATGGCTGCTTGGACAACTGTAGGTAGGGGGTGCTGGTCT